CCAGCATCTGCTCAATGCCGCCCTTCTCCATCTCCGCCACAACTCTCTCAACAATAATCAACAGCATGCCGTCGAGGGTAGCCTTATCGGAATCCGGGTACGATTCGGAGAGCTTCTGCCGCATGATCCACACGAACCGGGACAAGAAATCGTTAACGGCTCCGTCTTCCTCCTGCTCGGAATCCTCGGAATCAACCGCCTGAGCTTGAGCAGAGTGCATGAATCGGTGAAATGGAGAAAAGAGTTTTGGGAAATTAGGGTTCTTGATGGGTTTAGAGCCGCCATAGCTCGGTGGACGAAACGTCAGAGGAACTGGGTCTGCTGCTATGGTTGTGAAAGCATAGAGCGATCGCAACCTTCCCCTGATAACTGAAGCATTGGTTAACGCTTGCCCGGAAATCAAGTGCCGCAAATTCATTTCTCAGAAAAGAGAGATGCTGCCTGCTGAGAGACTCTGAGGAGAGGGCTTTTAGGGTTTTACTTTAAAATTTTTTTTTTTTTTTTTAAATTTCGTAGGGTTTTGCTCTCCGTTAATGGGTTATTATTGATTTGAACCTTAATCTGTTCTTTAGTCTCATTTTATCCCTAAAAATGAATTTATCCCATTTTACCACTCAAAATTATAAAGATCTGAGTCCCTTCATCCTATTTGGGGCGGTCTAAAAATTTTATGCCTCGCCAATCATATAGCTTATCTTTTCAATGTAAAATATTCAGATTGCCGTTTTTATTTAAGTTCATTACAATAAATTAACTTGAAACGACTTCTTCCTCTGGGGTTCAGTGGATCAAATAATCTTGGCCGTTCAATTTAATCTTGCGGCTAGGAAGCATTTTTAAGTTAAAAACAAAAAAAAATCCTAGAAAAAACATGACCATTGAGATCACTTCAATCTCCGACTCTTTAGCCTTTAGAGTCACCACCATTAGATCAATCATGTCCAAAATGAAGACGATGCAATTGCAGCCCAAAGTTAAAGAGGTGGAGAAGGTTGAGAAGCCAAAAGTGAAGTTCGAGAAGCTCTCAGATTTTCTAAACCTCGAGGAGAAAATGACACCCAACGAAGAAGAAGGTGGAGGCGCTAGAGAAGCTGAAGCACGTGTTGAAAGACTTTTAGGTGAAGGACGACTCGACAAAGAGGAAAGACAATGAAAATTCACTGCAGGCAGTAGTGAAAAGGTGGAAGCTTCCTAGCCGCAGGATTAAATTGAATGGCCAAGATTGCTTGATTCTCTAACTCCGGATAAAGTGATCCAGAAAGGATCTCAATATGAAATGACTCGATTTTACCAAATTTTAGTGAACAAAGTGAGATTAATTTCAGAGATAAATCAATAATAAGCCTCTTTTAATATAAAACCATTTTTACTTTATTTTATTTTGTGTTGTGAAAATTAGATAGTCGAAATTAGGCTCATTAAGTCTCGAATTTTCGTGCTTGCAAGTATATGAATCAAATGACCGTATAGCATATAAGCACGGAGATCCCACAAAGATCGAATTGATTCTAAAAATCTTACTACCTAAATTGAAACAAATTGTAATTGAGAAGCTTTAATGGAAAATAGAGAAAATTTGAATTAAACTAAAAATGAAATATGACTTGAAAATAAAATGCATGAAATATTAAAATTAAAAACATAAGAAAAGAAGACATAGGGCATCCGAAAACACCGTAACCAATTCTACTTAATTCCCTTAATATGTTATGCTCAAGTAAATCCTCGATATTGATGATCGATTTTCCCTAATTTATTCAATGGTCATGGCATCTGATTGCATCAAAAGTATCCCTCCTTGTTAACCCTCTATGGCATCTAGATGAATTTAAACAAGTAAGAATCCGTTAAACTCTATGGAAATCGTTGAAAAATCACACAAACCCTAATTGAATGGCATCTACAAATAGATGTTTATGGTATTAATTGCAAGAAGCTAAACCCAAGTTAAGTATGACATGACACACCCCGACCTAAATCAGGGCGTGCTGGCCGTCACGTGAGGGTGATGTAACCATGTGCACATTGCGGAAGCAATAATGATATGGAGAAATACGAGTGAATAAAAAAAAACCAAACTACTAAAAGTACTAGATAAGATAAGATGCTAGTGCAAGATTAAGTGTAAAATACACAATCAAAGCATAAATAGCTTAAGTGCAGTCCAACTGGACAAGTACTAATTATACAACACCCAAATGTGATCCTACATTTGTGATGTTATGTCAGAACCACCGTCGAAATCCCCGTGAGCCACCAAAGCACTTCTACCTAAAACCTAGAGGGGTGCAAAACAGAAAGTGTGAGTGTGCAAAAACAAAGCTTTTCAAATTAATTTCATTTATCAAAAGCGATAACCCTAGCCGTAAAACCTGTATAATTTCCTAGAAAAATAATATATGCTATATCAGAAATCATGCTCAGGATGAAAATCCATAGAAATATATCATGCCAAAGTATCTCAATGAAATGCTATAAGTAATCCAGTTAAAAAATATCAATGCCATATATCATATCAGCCGGCTCCACCTAACGTGACCTACCCGGCTGAGTCTATAACTTATAACCAATCTCAATCATATCAAATCCTGCACATGAGTTGGAACCACCTAAAGTGGTCTGTACAACAAGACTAGGTGTAAAATAAATATGCTCTAGTGCTACGATCATGTGAAGACTATGCGAATGATCGCATGTCACCTACGAGTCAGAACCACCTATAATGGCCTGTACGACAAACATGTGCACCTAACTTAGAGCCGAGGTGAGCATATGGTGCAGGAGGTGCACATCACGTGAAGGACTGTGCCATAACTCTGTGAGAGAGCACTAACACTGGGATGTAGGTTTATGAGCTCTTGATGCATCACATCATATCTCGCATAACTAAAGCAATCTCATATCTTTAATTTATGAACTTACCTGGCACTTACCTGTGCGTCCGCAGCACCAATCATAAATATATACAACTACTAATGCATAAATAAAATAGGCAGATACTTTGCATGACATTTCAAAACGTATAATCATTCAAATTCATTTTCTGGAAAAAATCTCAAGTATATAGGTATATACGAAAAATCAAAAGTCCACTCACTGGTATTGCGAAGGGTCGTAGCCGTCGAGCCTCGATTGATGATGCTAGTCCTTTGAATAGGTCTCACCTATATGCGAAATAACTAAATCAACGTTAATTAAAGCACACAACCAAAATTAGCTAATAACTTCTCATACATTGCTTAAATGGGGTATTTGAATATACCACCAAGACCTACTCAACCTCAGGAACATCCCCATATTTTTAGAAAATTTTTTTGAGCACCCACGCACCCTCATGCGCCGGCCAAGGCACGGCCAGACATGCGGCCCACACGCAGGCAAATACCTGGCACACCAAACGGATTCCCTAATGGCGTTAAAGAATATTCAGTTAAAAAATCAGCATATACCGTTATAATTACCTGACGGTGTTAGCATATTCCGTCAACTTTGACGGAATATTCTCCTCATTCCTTGGTTCGTTGGAGTTTGGCGCCGGTGCCGCTGCTATTGCCGAAAACTGGAAAAATCTTAAAAACTTCATATTTTCTTCGATTCTCAACCAAAATTCATGAATTATATACCAAAATGAAGCTTAGGACTAGAAGAACAGGACCTTACCACTTTTCGGACCTAAAACCTGCAAAATCTCGCCGGGAAAACCTTGATACTCCGGCCACCTCTGCAACTCCGCGAACTGGGACTTCCCGACGTCCAAATCACTTCAAAAATTTTCCCCGAACTTCGTGAAGATGTTCTAAAGCTTCCTAAGGTCTTAAAACTCACTGAAAAATCCACAATCACGATCGAAAGAACACTGCTCCAAAACTAGGTTCTCTGGAAAACGAGGTCTTCACGTCCAACCAATGCTAAAGATCAACTCCTAAGGTTGCAAGGAGCATGAAAACAACTTCCAAAACCCCGATCCGTGAATGGATAGCTAGGGTAGGAGTTGTCCATACGATCGTACGGAAAATGGAGAAAAATCGAGAGGGAAAGAGAGAGAGAGAGTCAACGGGAGAGCGTGTGGGAGGGTGTGTGTGTGGTCCAGCTTTGGGTTACTAACAACAACAAAACCATTAACTTTAAGTTCCAAAAACTTAGGAACTAATTAGATTAGTCAAAAACCCAAACTCAAACCACACCACTACACAATGTGCTCAACGTCCAAGGGTATAAAAGAAATTTTCACGTTATGGAGGATAAAATAATATATACATTCGGGACGGGCTGACACATGACATCTACTCTAACTTGCATCAAATCAACTTAACTAAAACTTAGATAGTGATCAAGCATCTAAATAAGAATAAAGCGCATTACAAATAACAAATGATACTCAACATGGAATAAAAACATAATAATAACAATGCCACAAAGCAATTAAGTATTCATGATCAGGCTACATCGTAACCTTAGCAAAGAAAAGAAACTAGAAAAGCTGTCCCCTCTTCTCTTCCTTGCCGCAGCCCCTTATGAAAAATGATGTTATTTGGTGGATTGGTGGCTGAGTAACTCACAATGGAGAATCAATCACAATGGCGAATCAATCTCCATATAAAGACCCGAAACAAAGACAGAAAAAAAAAACTAATTAAACCAAACTAAAATCCTAAATAATGCACTTTAAGTTTTTATTAAATAAATAAAATAAACAGAAATAATAAAAATAAATAATTATGTTGCTCCTTAAATCTATTGAATAGCACTCTCTGTGTCAATTTGATTTCCAAAACCGTTGCAATCTCATCTACTTGTTGTAACGCATATGTTTTGATACAGTTAATTAGCCTCTTACTCCATTAAAATTATTCTACACATCCGAAAAGCTTATATTTCACTTTATTTTTACATAACTCAAATATTGAATGCCCATGAATTAAAACAAAATAAATTAATGCATTTAACTAATTCATTTATACAAAAGAAGTAAACGATAAAAATATATATGAGAATATGCACCCATCGTTTTGTCGCCGAAGGTTTTAGACACCCGCAGTCTCTTTCATTTCATCTCTATTGTCTCCGTCGGCCCCAAAAGATTTCTATCAAATTTCGATCCATTCGAGTCGCCGTCGACAGCCCGACTTCACTCTTCTCCCCGTCGTCTTTCACCGTCGAGCCGCCGCTGCATTACTTTTCCGGCCGTTTTGCAGGTACAGTTTAGATTTCTTGAAATTTTCTATTTTTATTTGGTTTAAATTTTGGCGACAAACATGAAATATTTCTGAAATCTTGTAATTATGAGCATTCACTGGCGATTTGATGTCTGTGCTATACAAAACTGTAGTAAAATCTTTCTGGGTTTTTATAATTTGCATAAATTAATTATTTCTTCCCAATGAATTTTGTAATTTTTGTTTGTATAGTTGCACTTTCTCATTGTATAGGAAAGCATCATTTGCGATACGAATCTCGGTTAGGTTAGAGAAGTGAGAATCAACTCTTTCATAGGTGTGGCTTCATGCCTTTTTCAATGGATTGGCTTGGCATGAATATTTAGGGATGGATATTTGTTCTTGAAGTATTTCTTAAAATGGGCCATTTTAAGGATGGATCGCGGCATTGTTGTTCGATTTTTTGGTCTCTGTGAATTAGATTTGAATATCATTGAGCTTCATTTTCATCTGTTCCGTATAACATATCATCCAAGTAACTACATTGACTTGAATCGACCTCTGGAATAATGCTGAGAAGTACGATACAGAAGTAGTGACCATTTTAGTTCACTTGTATGCTACTCGGACTGTAGAGTTTAGGGTTATATGTGATTTGACCTGGTTTGGAGTTTGATTATATGTTGGTTTTGAGATGTTCAGGAAGGTCCTCAAGGGGTCAGCGGTAAGCGTTGCTTGTTAGAGTTTGACAGAGATGAAAACGGTGGTGGGGATGGTGGTTTCCAATAAGATGCAGAAATCAGTGGTGGTGGCAGTGGACAGGCTGTTCCATCACAAGCTCTACAACCGATACGTGAAGAGGACCTCCAAGTTCATGGCCCATGACGAGCACAATCACTGCAACATTGGCGACCGAGTATGTCTCTGTCTCTGTCTCTGTCTCTCTAATTATTTAATTCTTATTAATTTCATCATAAGCAAACTATTTCATCAGGTTCGATTGGATCCCTCGAGGCCTCTGAGCAAGCGCAAGCATTGGGTTGTGGCTGAAATCCTCACCAAAGCACGCATCTACCAGCCTCCTGTACCATCAGATTCACCTTCAGCTTCAACTCAGTTTAATTCTTAAGGTATTGTTCATTCCAACTGCTATTATGTTTCCTTTCTTCAACTACGATTAGCTCTTTTTTCGAAGTTGGTTCGAATACTCCATAGTTCACCTTTTTCCCTAAACCCTTTGCCAACACAAGACTCCTAAATGTAAGTTTTGACAAGACGTTAGACCCGGTATTTTTTGAGTATTTTTTTTGTATGGGTGAATGTTTTCTCTTACAATCCAGAACCTAATCGTGTACTGAATTTTCAAACCAGATACTCTGGATAAATCCCATAATTGCATCAATGTTCATTAAGATAAGTCTTTTTGATGGAAATTCAATATTTACGTTGTGATACTCTTCAAACAAACGAAAAATGTCGTTGCACTCCCGCTTTCACAATGAAAAGTATGACGGGATGATTGGGGTATACTTTGATAAATTTCATCGACGCCTGTATTCATCTCCACAGTCGCCAATCACGTGGAGATTCTTCCCTTTCTTTGTGACTTCCTTTATGCTGCTTCTATCTTCCTCGTCAAGAGTAAGTGAAAACACAGCATTGCAATCTTGGATGTGTTCCGACAACCCGAAAACTTCTGATTTAGTAGTCGAACTTTACCTGATCTAGAACGTATTTCACAGCAACGTTGGCGATCGAGACCCCATGTTTAGTAGCAATGCCCTTGAGTGTCTGAAGAAGAGCTTGGAAAAGGCTCCAACCTCTCCAGGCATCGACCATCTGCCACACATTACAAATGGAGTAAGAATGGATCGAAACAGATAAAATGCACATAACATATTGATCGAGTTCAGGGCTCCATACCCGTTTATACTTTTGGAGGGAGGGAGTATTTAACGGAGGCCCGGCAAAAGGAATGTTCACGTGATTAAGTGGAAGCAACTCACCCTCTAACCTTTTCCAAGTACTCTGGTGGACGCTCTTGACGAACACGATTGATAAAGATTCCATATAGCTCTTCAGCTGGTCCAACTACAAAATTTATAAAACCAAACCATATGAAGTACCACCCAACTCTGAGATGTAAATTTACAAATCAGAAAAAGAGAAAAAGAGGAAAAGAAAGAGGGATTAACTCCTGGGACATATTCACAAAGAAAGTGGTGACTCCAGCATCAGCATATTTAAGCATAGCATCAACTCCATTGTCTCTATCAATTCGATCCCAGCTACCGCTCGTCTGCCACATCCCATTAACAACCAGACAAATGTGTAACGAATCCTTGCCATTCTTAACCACAACTTGTCAGTCATCTTCAGTTAACACACCCTGAATTGGCCTCGAACTGAAATTTTGAATTCTTTTGGTTGTCTGCCTTACTTGATCGAACTAAACGTAAATTTGCTAAGAGAGTTATGGTGCAACAACTCTGCCATTGCAAATGGGACAGCCTAAATAGGCAAATAAATCGACACCAACCCGGTTTCTCTTCTTATACATCAATTTTACACACAGTAAAGATTATCTTGTCAGTAGCTCTCCAGCCTCTCCTCCCCCATTGATTTTACTTTTATTTGTTTTTTTTTATTTTTATGAACAAACCATATTAGCTACACGGGGTGGGGGAGCATGCTAAGCCTCACAACAGGCCAACCATAATAATGTGATTCAAATTTACCTTTGACGAGAATCAAACCTAAGACTTCTCACTTACACGTGAAGAAGAATAAACTACTAAGAGGCTCCTTTTATTTGGCTTTTTTAATATTGGGTTTTTGCAAAGTGTAGCAGTTTTACACATAAGCCCCTCTCTTGTTGCATATTTTCAAATATTTAAAACCAAAATCCAACAAATTCATATATTATCTAAGGGTACTATTGTAAATGAGGTACTACTATTTTACCAAGCCAACCATTGAGTTATTTCCGGGTAAGCACATCCCTTAGTGTAAATCGGGGGTTAGACTTTGTTTGACTTAGGGCTGGTTTGGTATTACTGTGCTTTGAAAAAAAAGTTACTGTGAGAATAAGCGACTGTGAAATAAATCAGCAGAGTGTTTGGTAAACTTTTTTGTAAAAGTGCTTTTGGAAAAAAAAAACAGTCTGATAGTGGGTCTTTTCATTAAAAGAGCACTGTAGCTCCGTGTGTTTTGAAAAAAAACCAGTTTTTCAAAGCTGCAAATAGCAGCTTCAGCTTTTTCCTTTGATTTCAGCTTATTCTCATAGCAGCTTCCAAAATAAGCCCTCTTTTTTTTAGTTTACCAAACATCTAAAACCCTCACAGTTTTTTTTCATCGTTTTTTTTTCAGGGACCTCACTCCCAAATCACTCCTTACAGTGGTCGACCATGTCGAAGGTGGAAAGGCCAGCGTCGGCGTAGCGGAGCATGGCCTCCACGGCGTCGTCTCGATCGATTCTTCCCCAGCCACCGCTCGTCTGCCACATTCCGTTAAGGACTCGGCATATGTCCTGGGAATCGTTCCCGTTCTTCACCGTGATTCGGTGGGTCTCGCAGGTGACCTGAGTTGCCTCGCCGCACCTCACAGAGTTGGCTCGGAGCCTGGGTCTGGGTAGCTCTCGCCGAGTGGAAGCCTGGGTGTTTGTGGATTTGAATGATGTCAGGTTACCTAAGCCGCTGTGTAAATGACAAGTTGCCATTTTTTAGTGTAACAGCAACAGAGGAAGCGAAGCAATTGGTGGAATTGAAGAGGATAAGGCGTCCGACGCCATGGATGTACGTTCTATTTTGAAATTTTGGATTGACGGTTATTACCCTGTCCTCCGCTTTCAATCTGTGTGGTTATTCTTACGGAAGGTGTAGGGTGTTGCGTTTTTTGAAAACAAATTGATTTTGTTGGGCTTTTAAAAATAATTAACTATAGCATCTTAGTACTACATTTTATGAGTATTTATCTTCAGCGGTAAATAAGATGTTTTAGTTAGATTCTCATCAAAGACGAATTTGAACTATATTATTACTAAGTTTGTTATGGGGGCAAAGCCCACTCAGCCGCTCCCCACACTCTTTGTCATGTACATGGCTTCTAATTTTTGCCACAACATATTTGTTAATTCCCTCATCACAAAATACTTCTGAGTTTTTACAAGGCACAACCAAATTGTGGAGTAAGCCCATAAATTTATTTTCTCTCATTTCGACTTTGACATTGCTTTCGGCTTATCTTTCAAAGCGGCAAGTAGATATTGTTGAGCCAATACATCCTTGACCTCACATTGTCACATCCTGAAGTTGTTTGTGCCATCAAACTTTTCCACTTCAAACTTTGCATTTTGCATTGTAGTTCTTGAGTTGCTTCTGAAAGGATTCTCATCTTGTTTGTCTAACATCTTTAGCAACTAGACAGTACCTAAGAGCAACCAGTGCTCTGATACCAATTGTTGTGCTAGGATAGCAGCATACTAATTGGAAACCAACTCAAGCTAACCCACATGAAATATAACAAATGAAATGCAAGAACGAAAATAAAAAATACACTAAGATTTTAACAAGGTTCTTCAACAACCAGTGTAACTGGAGTATGTCCTAGGAGCAGTAGGAGCTCATCGATAATCTACTATCAACCAAGTGGGAGTATTTACAAAGTGTTTTGGCAATCTCACAATCTAAAACCCCAGTACCCAATAACTCTCGCTTACCAAAGAAACAAATAAAGAATGAAATATAATGAATAATTTTATCTCTATACAAAGCTCATAGCTAATACACAAATATAACTTTGATTGAGTGGGTGCTAACCAAAGAGAGGAGCACATTTTCTTCCTCTCTCCAAAATGTGGCTACGACACCCTTTAATCTCTTCCTCTCTTTTTTTGCTGCTGCTACTAAAACAAAAGGGCAGCAACTGCCCTAATGACCCTAGCCACATCACGTGTGTAACAAAAGACCCAATTATGTTGAGCTGTTGGGTCAATAAGTGGCCCATTACAATTTGGCCACCAATTCAACAATCTCCACCTTGGCCAAATTCCGAAAGCACCATGACGAGCCAAACAAACATAATCAATAATCAACACAAAACCACTCCCAAATACTAGCAAGAGAATAACTTATATCGAGCCAAATGCTGCAAAACTCATATCGCTCAACATCTTCTTTATATAAGCAAAATGTGAGCCAAGTTCAAGCAATGAACAAACTTGGCTACACCAACAACATTAGTTAACATATCAACATGATTATCTTTAGTTGGAATCTTCTGGAGAATGATCTCCCCTTCACCAACAACTTCATGAACAAAGTGATAATGCACATCTATGTGCTTGGTCCTTGCATGATGAAATTGATTAGCCAAATAAATGGCACTTTGACTATCACAATGTACCTCAACTTGCTTCTAATCAACCCTTAAATCTCTAATAAGTCCATGCGTCCAAATGGCCTCCTTTATAACTTTAGCAACTGCCATATATTCAACCTCTGTAGTAGACAAGGCAATAGACAACTGCAAAATAGACTTCCAACAAACTGGCCATTTAGCCATAGTAAACACATAGCATGTAGTAAACTTCATTTTATCCAAGTCAACTGCATAATTTGAATCAGCATAACCAACTGCAAAGTTGCCAATACCAAAACCATCCCTCTTAAATCATAAACCAACATCTTGAGTACTATGGAGATACCTCAATATCCACTTAGTTGCATGCCAATGCTCTTTACCAGGATTGTGCATATATCGACTCACCATACCAATTGCATGAGCAATATCTGATCTAGAGCATACCATTGGGCATATCAAACTACCAACCAAATTTGCATATGGTACATTTTTCATTTGCAGCTTATGTTTATTAGTTTTAGGACATTGTAGAGAGCTTAATTTAAAATGAGGAGCTAAAGAGGTACTAACCGGTTTGGTTGAATCATGAACTCCAAACTTCCAAATCAATTTCTCAAGGTATTGTCTTTGATTCAAGCATACAAAACCCTTATCCCTATCTCTAGCAATCTCTATGCCAATGATCTTCTTCGCTTCACCAAGATTCTTCATCTCGAACTCATTCTTCATTTGCTTCTTCAATTTCTCAATATCTTTGACATTCTTTGAGGCAATCAACATATATCAACAAATAAATGTAAGACCCATCTTGCAACTTCTTGAAGTACACACAATGATCATAATGACTTCTAGAATAATTATGGCCTCTCATAAATTTATCAAACTTCAAATACTATTGTCTTGGAGATTGCTTCAAGCAATAAAGTGATTTCTTCAACTTACAAAACAAATTCTCCTTCTCTTTCACTTTATACCCATCCGGTTGACACATGTAGACTCTTCATTCAAATCACCATTTAGGAAAGTGGCATTCACATCAAGTTGTACAAGCTT